CAATAATCAGCTATCACGGACTGGATCTCAGAAGCACTGGACCACAATGGAAATGGTTCGCAATATCCCACGATAACGGGACGCGAGAAAAGGGCCACAGGAATGGTAGTAAGTAGTAGTTCGTTTATTGGAAGAAATGAGGGCGATTAAATAATATGTACAAAAGAAGATTATTGGTTGTCTAGGCTTTCACCAATCGGATTATAATACTACTTGCATAATCTTGCTTCTGTCTGCACTGCCTTGGATTGGCTGGCCCCATCCACCAATGACGTATATTCAGAAGCCACGTACGTGTCATTGACGTCAGCATTCAAATTTGATAGATCGTAAATGTCGTGAAACTGTAACACGCCGCTCCAGGGTAGGCGTCATCGCGTATGCCTGGGTCACCACATCTAGTCCACTATGTTTGCCTACAGTGACAGCTTACGCGTTACAGAACAGCCAGGACAAGTCAAGTGTTTATTGCTTCGAGCTGACAACTCTTCTTACCCAACTGGAACTACAAAAAGGGTATCATGAATGTGCGTTACTTTTTGTTTCTGATAGGGATGATACAGATGTAGACTAAAATCTCCAGCAGCAACATGTGTATGATGGATGTAATATTCAATAAGTGCATTTCTTAAGAAAATATTATAGTCTCACTCATCAAGGTGACCAGGAATATCTTGTTGATGATATCTGTTTCTGAGTTTTTCGAGATAACTGATTGTTAAATTCGTTAAATGACTGATCGGTATTTAGTGCACTTAATCTTGACAAAGTGATTTTTCTCTGTAGGGGCTCTTTTTTCAATTGAGTTTTCTATTTCAACAGATTTTCCTGTTCCACTAACTGCTAGGGGTCTGAGTTTGATTCTATTATTGTCCTGTTTCTGTTGATCGACTTGAAAATGTGTGCTTCCCAAGGGGATTTATTGTTCTGAAGTATTCCTCTTCCGTAACAGTTTTCAGTTTTCGAACGAATCAACCAATGAAATTAAATCCTAATTGATCATTCAAATCCACTCAGCACTTTTGGTTTCACATGACAATACGTAAACACTTTCAAATGCCAATCTCCCTACTGTTTGAGAGAATGGATCAATAATTTTATCACGCTCGCTCTAACTCTCGCCC